AATTCGTTTAAAATAGGAAGTGTTTCTAGTAATCTTATGTCCATCTGAGCTTTTCGCTGTTGCGCTAGACGATTTCCTCTCAATTACTGTATATAGTTTTGGGTTAAAACGTGGCGTTAATTTGTTTCTTTTATCTTGCTTTACTAGCACCACATCTCCTTCTTTCAAAATATTTGTCTTCACTCCTCTCCTTGCGTTAGCATAATGTTGGTTGTATACCTTTTTCCTTTCTTCATTGTTCTGAGCCCCTACGTGTTTGTCTACAATATTGTTGGGTAACATAGGTAATTTACCCTGAATTGGACGGTTAAATAACAGTTCAGCGGGTGAAACTTCCGTTGTTGAGTGTGGTGTAGAGTGGTATTGTAGTAGAAACCGTTGTATTTCCTGTTGCCATTTGCGATCTTCAATGGTTGCGGCCTGGATAGCTTTCATCAATGGTTGATTGAAGCGTTCTACTTCAGCATTGCCCTGTGGCCATTTTGGTGTACATGGTGTAAATTTTATACCAAGTAACTGCATATATTTAGAAAAATCACTGCCATTAAATGGAGGGCCATTGTCGGTAATAACTTGTAAGGGGATACCATGTGTAGCAAAAATTCTATCCAACTTAGGAATAACAGATTGTATGTTTGTAGACTTAACAATTTCAACTTCTGGGTATCTGGAATATCGGTCAATAACGACAAGTAGGTACTCACCCGTAGGCAGTGGACCACAAAAGTCAATATGAAGACGTTGCCATGGACCGTCAGGCATGCTGGACATTCGCAAAGGTTCAGGCGCTACTCATTTTCCTGTTGCTTGACATGCCGTACATGCGTGTACTGTGTTTTTGGTCATTTCGTCTATTGAAGGAAACCATATTTTTCTCGTAATAAACTTTTTGTTTTTGCTAACCCTTGGTGAGATTCGTGTGCGATGTCAATCGATCGCTGGTATAATTTTTCGGGAATAACAATCCTGGTTCCACGAAGTATAACATTGTTGTGTCCAATAGTCAACTCGTCTTTGATAGATCTGTAATTTCGAACTATTTCTGCAGTCCAACTATTTAGCTTAATCGCTGCCCTGACTGCTTGGAGTGTTTTATCATGATCGGTCGCCTCCTGTATTTCAGCAATTGTCATTGCCTTTGGTACTGCATGTAGTGTTACAAACTTGATATATTCTGCAGTATCGCTGTCATCATCGGTATACTCGCAGTTGGAAACTGGATGTCGGGAAAGATAATCAGCCGGGTTTTGATCACCTGGTTTATACTGTATCTTAAAGTCATACGGCTGTAGGTGTAGAACCCATCGTTCAATTCGTGCTGAGGGTTTGGATGTTGGGCTGCCATAGATAATTTCCAAA